TAGAAGTGGTCCTCGATGGTCTTGGGTGCAAGCGGCTGGGTAATTGCGCTGTAAGACCCGGAAGGCACACTCGCGCGTGCTGAGAACGGAGGACCAGAAATCTTGTGAAGCGGACTGGGAACGGCACTAGGACAGTAAAGCTGGAAATCGCCGTGCGAATCACTGCGGCCTGGGCTGACAGTATTGAGCATATCAGTCAGCCTTGACGAAGACTGATCACCGAGATTGCCGTTCCTTTGTCGTGGGTTCTCATTCTGCTCTCCAATACGCAATTCTTGCATGACGCGGGTTGTGATGCCAACATCGGAGCGCTGATCACGTTCATGAGTGAGCTGCTCGTTTTCATCGACTTCGCGAGCAGTTGGAGAGTTTGGCTCGATATCCTGGCGGTCTCCTTGGAAGATCATCTTGATTGAGCCGTCGGCCGACTCTTCGCGAGGGTGGAGGACCGACCGTGACCTTGCGGGGTGTGAGTAGAGAAGGCGCGTTTCGTCAGACTGAGAGAGTTATTAGCATTTATACCAGCACATTAGAGGAAGAAGCGGGGTACTGCGTGTGAAGGTACCTGGGCAAGTAAACGCTGAAGGGACAGATGACGACAGGCCCCACTTTTCGGGAAGGTGAGAGAAAGAGCCCTGGAAGCAATGACGGACTTACATTCTTAGACGGTGTCTCGCCTTCAGCGAAGGGAAAATGAGTGATGCGGGATGGAGAATAGAAGTGTGGCTGGAGATGGGGACCATTGGCGGGGTTGGTCTCTTGCGTTGTGTTCGGACACTCCTCCCTCAGGCGGTCGGGACGAGGAAGGTGCAATGAGCCAAGGCCCGCACCTGCCAAAGGAGCATGGTGTTTGCCTTCTGCCTTGGTTGGCGAACTGTCCCAGTTAGGGTAGGGCCGTTGCACTGAGCCATCCTCTATGAGCTTGGTGTAGTCTTCTGCGGTATATGGGCGGGACTTTGCGGGACTCGATCCACCATGTCCAGGCAGGATATATGACGAACGGACGGGCGAAAGATCAAACTTAGGGAACTGGATACGGCTGATGTTGTCGTTGAAGTCAGAATAGCTGTCACGTAAATCACCACGCGTTGGCGCAGCCCTGCGAAGTGGGCTGGGCTGCCTCTCAGCTGGTGGCGGAGTATCCTTTGCTGGTGGTGAAGGCGGGATGACTGAATCGGACGATTCGTTGACATCAGGCACGGGGCGTGTGTTCTCTGCGTTGTACGACTGCTTCTTCGGGCTACCTCTACCCGGTGAGCCACGGCCACTCGTGCGATGGCGACGCGAAGATCCGCTATGATGGCGATGGGCGTAGCTGTCAGGATTAACGACCTTCGCAGGCAGAGACTTCACCGTGTCTGAGCGTGAAGTCCTTGTAGGGGTGGACTCGACAGGGCGCGCTGGCTTTATGGGGCGGACTGGGATGATGCGAGCCTGACGTGATGCTGTGCCCAAAACCTGCGCTGCTTTGTTTGGCATTACTGGTGGAGCTGCAGCACTAGAAGACTTGGAAAAGGTATTACGGAGGTTCTGGAAAAGCTTTTTCTTCGGGCTTTTGGGCGGCTCCTCGCGTTCTGGCTGTTGATCTCCACTGGCGATCCGGCACTGTCGTCGCAGGTCTTCCGTCCTGATGTAGATTTCGTCCTCGTTTGCCGAATCTACAAGTTTTAGCACAAGATTGTATACGCAGTACCGTAGACTCACCAATCATTGGAGTGGGCGGAACTTGACCCGTCATCTTGAACAGGTTCTTCTCAGCGCGAGATTCCACCTTTCCTCTAGCCGTCTCCTCGTCGAGAACTTCAATCTGGGCCTGTGCAGCTACAGCTTCATGTTGACTGCGTCCTGACTGCCTCGAACGTGCCGTCGAGCCGGCATTGCTACTTATCCAGGATCCGTGATCTGACTTGCGGGGAGAACGTGCCTGATCGATTAGATTGGTGAACGTAGCCATGGCGGTGCGACTTCTGCCCGACCCCGAGGCTGGAGTGTGTGACTCAATAGGCGAGGTCAGCGGCGTGTTGTCGGTAGAGCGCTGTCCTTGCTGCCTTTGCTGGTCGATGGTCGCTAGAGGGCGCGGAGGCGGCGGCAACGGGAGCGTGATCGGCGGCGGGCGCTTCTTCTCTTCGGTGAACTGGTACGCCATGGGTGCAGGATTTCGTCCAAGTGGGGGATCTGTCCCAAGTGTGAGGAGTTGAGCAGGTGAAGAGACTCAGAGTCGAACCGGAGTGGTCGTAGCTCAAATAGCGTGAAATGATAGAATTCCCTGTCTCGACCAAAGCGTCAGTATTCGAGTTTTGCAAGCAGCAAAAATCACATGAGTCAGAGAACAGAGGAGGCTATCGCGTCGCGGAGGTGTTGCGGCAGAGGTTTGTCCACGACAGAGATCGCGTTGTTGAGCAAGACGTAACGGCAAGGCAACAACATCATCAACAACAGTGACGACAGCAAACGCGCTCCTCGTTCACCTCATCTTAAAAGAGGGGTAGCCCACGTGGGGAAGCAGACTTGCAAGAGGAGATCAAGCAAGAGATGGCATCCGCTGTAACGCAGTGGTTACACTAGGCGCGCAGTGGACAGCCCCTAATTTGCATTTTACTTGCCTTTCCAAGCATCAAGATATGTCTGCTTGTTGCATCTTGAACGTAACGTGCAATTGACGGGAGATTGAGTAAAATGCATAGAACGAAACTGAGCAGATTGAAAGAGAACACTACCCACAATGGCGCCTGTATTCGAGAGGTATCCAAAAGATTCACGCCTAATCAAAGAATATCTGCAAACCAACGCTCCCTAGCATGCGGTTATTCGTAGTTGCCGCATAAGCATCTCAAAGGACAATGCACTTCTTGCCCTTCTTCCTCTCGCCGCCCTCTTTCTTCGCGGCTGGCGGCTCAAGTGCTGCTACGATCGCCTGCGGAGATGTCAGCATTTATATCAACCAATCTTGTACAATATGCTTACCTCGTCAAACACGTCCTTGAGCTTGTATTGGGTCAGCGCCGAACACTCGACGTACTTGACCGCACCAAGCTCCCGCGCCATGCGCTCGCCGTCCTCCTTCTTTACAGGCGCCATTCTCTGTTTTGAGAGCTTGTCTTTTACTGCAGCGTCCTCCCTCAGATCTACTTGTGTGCCGACGATCAGGCAGGGCACGCCCGGGCAGTGGTGATGTACTTCGGGGAACCATTTCTCGCGGACGTTCTCAAAAGAAGCGGGTGAGGTCACGGAGAAGCAGACGAGGAAGACGTCGGTTTGGGGGTATGACAGCGGCCGGAGACGGTCGTAATCTTCCTGTCCGGCAGTATCGAAGAGACCGAGGGTGTATGGCTCGTCACCGATCCTTCAAAGCAGTCAGCAGCTGCTCCACCAATCACTGTCCCAAACCTAAATCCACCGAGGGTTTGCCGCTACTCCAAATTGTACAGAGAGCAGAGGGAAGCTCACATGACGGTCACGGCGTAGTTGTCGAAGACTGTAGGGACATATTCCGAGGGGAACTTGTTCGTGGTATAACTGATAAGAAGACATGTCTTTCCGACCGCACCGTCGCCGACGACGACGCACCTGTAGGGTAGTAAGCACTAGCATCTGGAGCATGGCGGTCGCACGCCGGGCATGTTGGGCTTCGCGTACTTGATTGTCGCGACCACCATGGTGAAGGCAAGCTGGGACTTGTTTCGAGGCTATGGATGTTTGTTTGGAGGCACGTCGGCTACCAAAATTCGAGATAGGCGTGCGGAGATGGGGCGGAGCTGTCGCTACGCAGGCTCAGGGTCGTGGTCGTGCGGAGATGGGAGCTATGGGCTCAAACGAGGGGTTCCAGGGAGCGGGGAGCGTCTGGCAGACGGGTCAGTCTCACAATTGCTGGCGCTGGCTGTGATGGCAGACTCGGGCAGGCGTACCTATGAGTCCTCGTGCAGACGGCGGCGGCGGCGGGTGCTACGTGGGTTGGAGCGTGAAACACCACCCGTTAGACTTGGTCCAGGTTCTGGTGAGCCGGTGGGCGGACAATGCGGCGAGCGATTGAGGCAGTGCTAGCGACGAGGCACGCGACCGGACAAGGACAGTACAGGCGCAGCAGCAGCCAGCGACGAGGCGAGTTCACAGCGGGCGACGGGACGTTTGGAGGGCGTGAGTGAGGTTGCGCTCTAGCTACGGCAGCCGAATCCCTTGAGCTGGAAGACGCCAATCAGTGAAAGCGGCCTAGGGCTGTTATCATAGCCTTGCATCGGCTCCCGCCCGTAGCTCGGAGACGGCTTATTATGTACGGCTGCACAATTTCAAGCCCTATTTTGCGGCCTCTGCTGGCCAGACCTGGGGCGCCTTGGAATCACCCAACGCGTGGCAGACCCATTGCTGCAGCGCCGCAGACACGACCCCACCACCAACAGCGGCCGACATTGGCTTGATAGACGCAGCGAGGCACGGCTGTGAATACACGCTGCCTCTGATGCCAGCGCGCATGCTACCTATGGCCCAGCGAGATCCCGGACAAGCTCAGTGAGCCCCAGATTTGGGAACGAACCGTGCACATGGACAACGTGGCTGATCGTCCTCTAATAGCATGGCCTGGCGGTGTTTGCGCAAGAAGTCGGCCTGTAATGAATCATCCGTAGTAGCACACAATACGCCCAGGATCGGCAGCCCTTCTTTACAACACACCTGCGCTGGCTTCGGCCAAAGCTGGTATATTGCCATAAGCGCAACCCCTATGTACTCGCCCACAGACAGCTCATTCACGCGACATGCGAGCCAGGTGCAGCTTGACCCATTGCCGATTGAGTCGAATCTTAGAATGCTGCAGGGCAACCTTGGCGGACCCCGGCTCGTCCAATCAGCATCTCGCCTCGGCACGGAACAACCTGGTCTCCCGGGAGCTAGGGCGCTCCCTCCCCATCTGTCTCCATTCGTCTCATCTCACGGTTGCATCACGCACGAGAGCGGCGCCGCACATCACTTAGCCGTCGCGCCTCAATCTATTCTATGACAGTGCTGCCATGGATGACCTCGAAGACGAATTGGATCTTCGTTTTCACAAGGGGCTGAGTCCCGATGTCTACTACCGCTGTCCTACGCTCGAAGTAATATCATCTTCGCAATCTGTATCGACGTAGCTAAACTGTCATGTAACAGTCACTGGAGGGAGCTCTGCGCAATGAGCTGGACAAGAACGCAGCCAGCTTCATTCCCACAGACGTGGTGACCGAGTTCATTTTTGCGACAGCCTCAACCATCACCATCCCCGTGACGCAGCAGCCGAGCCTTGACGCGCTCATACAACCAGCCGATCACCTTCAGAGCATTGCTGCCGAGTATGCGCTGTGTCGTGATATTGATGGCAAAGACAGGCTCAAGGTGCAGCGAGCAATAGCGAGGTACTTGAGCCCACATATCTGCACTATGTTCGCTTATGCACGATAGATCCATCATCGAAGCCATTCAGGACACCGATGGTTTCAAGTACTCCGAGCGCTCTGCGCAGAGTAAAGAAGGCGGTGATGGTGCCAGGCTCAAGGTAAGGCACTGCCAAAATAATAACCAGTTCCTCGTTGTGGCTGACGATAGTAGTATGTTTGCCAAGACAGCGTCCAGAACCGCAAAAGCAAACTCAAGAAAGAAAGGTCTCACGATAGCGACGACGACGAGGCTGGAGTCAACGAGCAGGGGCCCGCTGTGCTGCCGACCTACGACTGCGGAGGCGCAATACACATCAAATTCTCACTCAAGAGAGAGGCCATAAACGTCGTGTATAAGCATAATCCTATCCATACCACCCGCGAGATTGATGCCGGGTACGTTGGGGCAGTAAAAGACACTGGTTGAGCGACATCCAAACTAACTTCTAATAGCCTACCTGCCTTAGCCACAGATAACGGCGTTGCTCCCACTGCCGCTGCTACGGAAGAAAAGGAACCGCGCAAAAGAAAACGTAGTAAAAAGAATGTTGTTGAAGCAGACAACGAATTCGGGGACCCAGATATGGACATGTCGACGTCTCCGGAAGCTCCAAGTTCATCGACGAAGAAGAGGCGCAAAGGAAGCGGTGCCGTGGCCTCTCCTAGGACAGTGCGGAAACCATCCACCAAGAAGAGCAAGAATGCCAAATCGCCTGCATCACCCACCAAATCGAGGAAAAAGGCGCCTGTCAGTGAACCATCACCGCCGTCGCTACCTGCTCCTGGCAAAGCTTGCATCCGCTGTCGCGGAAAGAAGATCAAATGCAACGAGGCGAAGCCGACGTGCAACCAGTGCCGACGAGGACTATGGACCTGTCAGTATGAAGTGTTGAACAACAAGAAGCGCTCCAAAAACGGCTGTCTTAATTGCAAGCAGAGACGACGGAAGTGTACAGAAGAAAGGCCATCGTGCGCATACTGCTTACGACTGGACGATGACTGCGAATACGCTGACTACTCCTGAGGATCTTTATGTCTGGTAAAAGTCTTACAACTCAAGCGACAAATGACTCAGCACCCGCCAAACGTCAGGCTTAGCACAAATGCGCAGGCCTTGTGACGACAGGCAGAGTGCTACAACAGGCGAATATCTTGACATGATGCCAACTTTGTAGTCATGTAGGTGTCTGAGACATGCATACAATTTTTGCAGTGCTGACAGGAGATTTAGACTGGAAAGCATGTTGTACGTTGAGGCATACGCTACTTTTCCGCAATGCCAGCACAGGCAGGGCGGGTGGAAGCACGGAAGCTCCACACCACAATGCGCAAAGGCTAAGTGTACAAGGCCGTTCAAGCAATTGACCCTTGAAGGCCTGCAATTAAGAAACTTCACTCCTATTGCAGTAAGTTTGTGCTAAGCCCTTGGGCGCGATGTAGCGTCCTGTATTACTAGGGTCCTCGGGTTAGCGAATACCAGAGACCATCACTTGATCAGACTAGTTCACCTAAGCAGTTCATTAACCATCACACGACTGAGCCGCATGTTCCCCACAACGTCCATTGCGAATGTCAAGGGTGCAGTAATTGTTTATCGGGGCAACGTCCGCTTGTGATGCAGTGTTCCGAAGTTTGATTCGCGGCTGACCCTAGTCACCGGCTGTAGACCCTGGGTCAACGGCCCGCCTCCATTTACTCCCTCTCACCGTCTCATCTAATTCAACGATCACCCCTCTACATCACACGTCATGCGGCTTGTAAGTTTCTTGGGGTCTGGGGTTACCGTGCTGGATGCTGGCATTTCGCCAAGGGCCAATTTTGACGAAAAACAACAGTCTCGGGCTTGTGCGTTGCGCAGCATGGACGATCCGCGGGTATTTAATAGGAGACATGCCCGAGTAATTATTTGCGATCCATACGGTTTCCTGTACAGCTTTTAGACCGTTGAGATCTCGAGCACGATGCGTTCTTTTATTCTTCCTGTGCTCGCTACGGCTGCTTTATCGCAAGCCTCGGGTAACTACATCCATGATACATACAACTACGTGTTCACTACTAACAAGTGCAGCCATTCCATCCGAATTACTTTCTTCGAAGCGTGCCGTAGGGAACTGGGACGATGCCCATGCAAAAGCGACGGCTGCTCTTGCAAAACTATCACAGAGCGAGAAGATCGGCATCGTTACGGGTGTTGGCTGGCAGAACGGTAACTGCGTTGGCAACACCAAACCGGCTGCCTCGATTGGATATCCGTCGCTTTGTCTGCAAGGTAAGCAAATATGTCTCACTACTTTCGAGCCGGCCCGTGGTTTGTGGCATCGGAGTCAACATGCTGTGACCCTACGAATATGTTGTGTTCAGCGACTTCGGTGCTTGGAACTTGAAGCGTGGCCAGGTCACGTCGAACCCACTTCTCAACAGCTGCTCAATGCATGTGTACATTCAAAACAGGGTTCTTACTAACAGCCTCAAGATGGACCCCTCGGCGTTCGCTACATCCAAGGTGTAACTGCATTCAGCGCAGCTATCCATGCCGCCAGCACCTGGGATCTCGATCTCATTCGGGAACGCGGCGCCTTCCTTGGTGCTGAAGCAAAGGAGCTGGGCGTTCACGTCCAGCTCGGACCTTCAGCTGGACCTCTCGGAAAGTTTGCCAACGGTGGCCGAAACTGGGAAGGATTCGGTTCCGATCCCTACCTCCAAGGCATTATGATGGCAGAGACCATTGAGGGTATGCAAGAATCCGGTGTTCAAGCAACAGCTAAGCACTGGATTGTCAACGAACAAGAGCTCAACCGAGAGACTATGAGCTCAGACGTGTCGGATCGAGTGCTTCGCGAGCTCTATGTATGGCCATTCATGGATGCAGTCCACAGCAACGTCGCGGCCTTTATGTGCAGTTACAACAAGGTCAACGGAACTTGGGCCTGCGAGAGCGATGGTGTGATGAACAAGCTCTTGAAAGACGAACTTGGTCATCGTGGATACATCATGAGTGACTGGAATGGTAAGTCATTTGTACACTCATCACCTCTGGCACCTAAGCTAACCTCGTTTAGCCCAACACACGACGACTGGTAGTGCAAACGGCGGAATGGACATGACCATGCCCGGCACCGACTTCAGTGGGGGCAACGTCTTCTGGGGCCCACAGCTTCAGTCCGCCATCGACAAAAAACAGGTTCAACAATCTCGCCTCGATGACATGGTCAAGCGCGTACTCTCTTCCTGGTACCTCCTTGGTCAGGACAAGGGCTATCCCAATGCCACCTTTAGCTCCTGGAACATCGGCACTCGTCAGGTCGGTGGCAACCACAAGACAAACGTCCGTGCTACAGCCCGCGATGGTATCGTCTTGTTGAAGAACACGAACGCTACACTGCCCTTCAAGAAGCCCAAGAGCATCGCTGTCATTGGAAGCGACAGCATCGTTGCGCCCAAGGGAGCTAACGCATGCGTTGATCGCGGATGCAACGACGGCACGCTCGCCATGGGTTGGGGATCTGGATCAGTGGAGTTCCCCTACCTCATTGCTCCTCTCGATGCCATGAAGACGCAAGCTCAGAAAGACGGCACAACCATCACCTCTTCACCCAACGACAATGCGCAACAGGGAGCTAGTGCAGCTCAAAACGCTGATGTAGCTGTCGTGTGCATCAACAGCGATGGTGGCGAGGGATACATCACTGTTGAGGGCAACGCTGGCGACCGAACTAACCTCGACCCGTGGCACAACGGAAACGAGTTGGTCAAGGCAGTTGCTGCCGTCAACAAGAAGACAGTTGTCGTGGTCCACAGCGTCGGCCCCGTCATCATGGAACAATGGGTAAGAAATCCAACTCGCAAACTGCACATAAGACATCCACTAATTTGCGTAGATCGAAAACCCGAACGTAGTAGCTGTTGTATGGGCAGGCCTGCCAGGTCAGGAATCCGGAAACGGCCTCGTCGACATCCTCTACGGCGCCGCCTCGCCAAGCGGCAAGCTCCCCTACACCATTGCTAAGAAGGAATCAGACTACGGTACCACTATTGCTAGGGGCGACGATAAGAACTGGGACCTCTTCATCGACTACCGTCGTTTTGACCAGCAGAACATTACACCCAGATTCGAGTTTGGCTTCGGTCTCTCCTACACCAACTTCACCTACTCTGACCTCAGCGTCTCAGGCAAGCCCTCGGCTGGTCCCGCAACCGGTGCCAAGGGCCCTGGAGGCCCTGTCGATCTCTTCGAGACGGTCGCAACCATCACAGCCAAGATTAGCAACTCCGGTGGCGTTGCAGGTGCAGAAGTTCCGCAATTGTATCTCGGCTACCCTGCGTCGACCAACTCGCCTCCCAAGCAATTGAGGGGTTTTGCGAAGCTCAAGTTGGCAGCTGGTGCGAGCGGAACTGCTACTTTCAAGTTGAGGAGAAGGGATATGAGCTTCTGGGACGAGAAGACCAGGAAGTGGAGCGTTGCGACTGGAGAGTACAAGATCTTCGTAGGATCGAGTTCCAGGGATGTGAGGCTGACAGGTAAGATCACTATTTAGGGATGTGATCTAGAAGGCCAAGCTGGTTGGGAGAAGTGCATCCATCGTGCTCAATAGTCGAGTAGAAATACAGAGATTGCTCGTGAAGAAAAAAAGTCGGGATGACCGGTGTTGCCATTAAACTTCCCCCGTTGGGTTCAGCGCATGGAATTCCCAGGAGATCCAAGGTGTGTGTTGGTCTCAGGGGTTGACAGGCGGATTCAACGGATGTGCGGAGACATGTTCGGCAAATTATGAAGCTTTCGATCGCCATGATGCCGATATCGGGACAAAGCAAAACTGTGACAGTCACTCGTCATCTGCGTGCGGATACCATGAAATTCTCCCCGGGGAACACTTTCAGGCTGCGATCGACAAGATAAGACGCCACATTAGATGAAAAATGCTCGTCAAACCCTACGCCAGGTGGTAGTAAAGCTTGAAGGCGCAATGGCTAGACGACTACAAACACATGTCTTACAACGATACTGAAGTCTATGTGTTACTTTCCTTGATACGTGAATTAATATGAACATTTTTGAAGCATCAGCTTTGGGCTGTAGGACACAAGCTGTACCAGACTCTCGCGACAGTACTATAGGACAGCGTACGCTACGCGGTAGCCAGGTAAGGCTCAAAGAGACCTGATAGCGGGGCCGGCATTCATCGTCCAGTTCCCCCGGACGTTTGTCATAGTATATGGATCCTGTGTTGAAGAAACTTTGCGACCTATCGTTATCGTGGCCGAAAGTATATTGTAAAGGTTGTCATTGGCGCAGGTGGGTGTCATTGCGCCTTAGCGTGATTCTGGTGCTGGGGCAGAAAAGCCCCTCCGATTACTCTCCATCCTCACCTCACGCAAACTCAACACCTTCAAAGCTAGCACGTCAAGCTTCGCCTCAGATAGGCAGCCCCTTTGGACCTCGACTGGCTCTACTACCGCGCTTATGAAAGCTGCCCCGACAGTCTTCACTTCCCAGGTATGTCACTACTGCGATAGTCGATGAGCCCTTATCGGGACCTGCATCGCACACCGTCAATTCACCGCCGGCCTTTCTGCCTCTTGGTGGCTTGACGATCGATGCATTCGTCTCTTGATTTTTTTCTTCGATTCTTCTATCATGACTGTGGCTAATTGAACATCTTAGGATTACCTGTCAGGTACGATGTCGCCCGTAGCTAGACGCGTCGTGAGCGTCAGACTGACTCTATCTGCAGACCACCTGTGGAAGGCCTCAGTAAACTGAACGCCTACCCAAGCTGCCACCAAACGAATCACTACATCTCCTCACATCTCCGCTCATCATGTTGTCTCAAATGATCAAGCCTTCCACCATGCGGTCCGCAGGGTTCCTGGGACGAATGACACAGAACCGTGTACAGGCACGCTGCCTCGCTACTGTGGAAGGAAACACACAACGTGCCATTCCTACTCCCAGCATGCGCAGGGCTACAGCTGTCTCCAACGAGCCCGCTACCTTCACCATCAAGGTGCGTTGAGTCATACTGCAGATCTCGGCACATCACTAACAGCTGACTAGAACGGCCCCATCTTCGAAGGCAAGTCCTTCGGAGCCAAGACGAACATTTCCGGTGAAGCCGTCTTCACAACCTCTCTGGTCGGTTACCCCGAGTCTATGACCGACCCCTCCTACCGTGGCCAGATCCTCGTCTTCACACAACCGCTGATCGGCAACTACGGTGTCCCCTCCAACGCCCGCGACGAGCACGGCTTGCTCCGATACTTCGAATCACCACACATTCAAGCCTCTGGCATTGTCGTCCAGGACTATGCTCTGAAGCACAGCCACTGGACTGCTGTAGAATCGCTTGCACAATGGTGTGCCCGCGAGGGTGTTCCCGCCATCTCCGGCGTTGACACCCGTGAGGTTGTAACATACCTCCGTGAGCAGGGTTCTTCTCTTGCTCGTATCTCGATCGGCGAGGAGTACGATGCTGATGAGGATGAGGCGTACATTGACCCTGAGGCTATCAACCTCGTGCGTCGTGTATCGACCAAGGCTCCCTTCCACGTCAGCTCTTCCCTAGGCGACATGCACGTAGCTCTGATCGACTGTGGTGTCAAGGAGAACATCCTCCGCAGTCTCGTCTCTCGCGGTGCTAGCGTCACCTGCTTCCCCTTCGATTACCCCATCCACAAGGTCGCCCACCACTTCGACGGTGTCTTCATCTCCAACGGCCCTGGTGACCCAACTCACTGCACCACCACCGTCCACAACCTGCGCAAGCTGTTCGAGACCTCCCAGATCCCCGTCATGGGCATCTGCATGGGTCACCAGCTCATTGCCCTTGCTGCCGGTGCAAAGACCATCAAGCTCAAGTACGGCAACCGCGCTCACAACATCCCGGCTCTCGACCTCACCACCGGCAAGTGCCACATCACCTCGCAGAACCACGGATACGCGGTCGACCCAACCACCCTGTCCAGCGAATGGAGGGAGTACTTCACCAACCTCAACGACCAGTCCAACGAGGGTCTGATCCACAACTCGCGTCCCATCTTCAGTGCCCAGTTCCATCCCGAAGCCAAGGGCGGCCCTCTTGACTCTGCGTACCTCTTCGACAAGTACATGGAGAACGTGGCGCAGTACAAGAACAACCAGTTCTCTGACAAGAGCAACAAGCCCAGCCCTCTTCTTGTGGACTTGCTGAGCAAGGAGCGCGTTGGCTGCCACCCCGATGCGCCAGACTTTGAGGGTCACGCAGCGGGTATGGAAAACCAGGACATTACGGTGGGCGGGCCCGTCGCTCCTTCCTACCAGCCTATCACGCAGAAGCCTGTTGCTTCCGCTGCTTAGACTGGTTCGGTATCATGTCTGATGGCAATGCGTTAGTTGCGTTTTAGGGATCTTGGGGGAATGGCTATAGCGGCGTTATGGGAACAGGGGGATAAATTGACAAGGAAGATGTGTCGGGTCGAAAGGCGGATCTCGACCAGGCCTTGGGTATTTCTGTAGTAATGCAATTTTCATGGAAATGTATACTGTGCGAACGCGATTGGTATATGGGAATCATGTTTGTGTCTGTGTCTGTATTCTATTTCGGCTAGCTGTACTAGCATGGGGTATCTTGATATGTACTTTCTCATCTTGACCTCCCCGGGAGTGCGAGTTCAAGCCTTTCCAAACCCAGGCTCCTCCTCCAAGTCCTCTTCCCCTTCTCCTTCCCCTTGTGTCTCAGTAGCCACACTTTCTTTCATGGACTCCTCCACCTTGCCATCCGGAGCCTTCCTCTCCCGCCTTTCCTGCTCCTTCTTCCTTGCGCCCGCCTTTAGCTTCTCCCATTGTTCCCTATATCTGCTCAACACCTGCTTGTCCCTTTCGCTTTGCTTGGCCAGTTTCTCGTTGGCACTCAACAAGTCGTTGTACTTTGCGTCTTGCGAGGCGACCCTGGCTTCGAGTTCGGCGATGCGTTTCGCGGCGTCGGCGTCGGGGGCGGATGTTGGAGGCTGGCCGGGGGAAGTAGGTTGTTGTTGAGGGTGGCCTGGGATGGGAGGCGACGGGAGAGCAGGAAGGGTGTTGATGCCTTGAGAAGCGAGGGCGTGGGCGAGAGCATTGGGATCGCTGGAGCCACGGCCAGGTCCTCGAGCACGGAAGGACTGTGCGAGGGCGTTGAAGGAATTTTGGGAGTTGAGTTCCCACATTTGGATGCGCTTGGCTTGCTTGTCGATGACTGATTTTAGTGTGTCGTTCTCCAGGGCTAGCTCCTCCATGGTCTTGAGGCCTGAGCCTCTGCCGGCTGGTATGGAGCGCTGGGGCGTTACGGATGTGCTGGAGTTGCCGCGAGAAGGGGGGCGGCGTGCTTTGGTGGGCGACGGCGGGCCTACGTTCTCTCTCGCGTCGACAAACTCTTCGTGTGAACTCCCTCGCAGCGAGCCTGATCCCTCGTCTATGGCATTGAGCTGTGTGTTTGGTGCATTCGGCGCATTCGGATCGCGAAGGATGCTGGCGTAGGTGACTGCTCCGCTCGATGTTGGCACCAGGTAGAAGCTTTCGTTGGGCCCGGGTGCGCCATCCTCTCTCAGGGCGCGGAGTGCCGGCTTGCTGATCAAGGCAGCGAGGTCTGGTACGGAGGATTTGACGGTTCTCGACGCTTCTGGGGAGTGCGTTCGGGACTTGGTCTTGGAGGATTTCTCTTCCCTAGGTGTCTCCGACACAGGCGTTGGAGCGGAGGGGTTGAGGGGAAGGGAAGTGAAGGCTAGAGGAGCGCTGATGGCGGATATGACACCCCCAAAAGCCGAGTAGAAGCGACTAAAGTTGTCCTCTGCGGGCGGGGATGTAGGTTGCGGAGAAGCGCCTTTCAGCTGCTTCGCTGAGTCTCTGGTGGCACTCGACTCTGCTTTGCGCGACTGCTGCGCCAGTAGATCGCGCACAGGCGTGGAAGGCTGCTCATTCCGGCCGGCTGTGGTGGCGCTGGGTATGTTTGCTGACGCGCCACTGGTGGTTCTCTTCGCGCTGGGGATGCCGCGCTTCTCGGCGAGGTTGGTGGCTATCGAGGACTGGGGCAGTCTGCGGCGGGACGTCGGGGGTGTCGGAGAAGATGTGTTGGCTGCAGAGGCTCGCGACGACGACGTGTTTGGCGAGGTAGAGGCGGCGGACAAGTCGGAGGGCTGTTTGGCAGCGTCCGTCTTCTTCTTGTCCTTGCGCGGCGCTTCTTTGATCAGGCCGGCGAGCTTGCGGTGGTGGTCTTCGAGGAGACTGAGGATGCGGAGGGCCTGCAACGCTTTAGACGGGTGGGATAGCCTGTGTTAGACTACATACCTCAGCATCGTGGGTATCTTGGGTGGCCTGGTGGAAGGCGGTCGCGGCGAGGTCATGCTCCTGCCCCGCGGTTGCGACGCTGTTGGTGCTGGTGGCGGTCGCGGCAGTGCGGGCGTGGTCGTGGGCGTGGATGAGATGTGCAGACTCCATGGTGGTGGCAGAGGCAGGGGGTGGACATGTTCATGGAGTCGCTGTGCATAAAGGCAGCATGACATGTGCGTGGAGGGTCGCGGTCACGTC